CCCAGCACTCAGGAGGCAGAGGCAGGTGGATCTCTGTGAGTTCGAGGCCAGCCTGGTCTACAGAGTGAGTTCCAGGATGGCCAGGGCTACACAGAGAAACCCTGTCTTGAAAAAAAAAAGAAAAAAAGTTTTGCCTGCCTGCGTATGTATGTATATACATCCCCCGCATGCCTGGTGCCTGAGATGGGAAGGGGTCGGATCCCCCCGGATCTACAGTTGAGAATGGTTGTAGGCACTGGGAATAGAATCTGGGTCCTCTGCAAGAATCGATGTTCTTGGCCACTGAAAAAGTCTCTCCAGCCCCAGGAATTTTTTTTTTCTTACAGTTTGGGAGGATTATACCACAATAGTTGACATGGTAACCAGAGCAGGAGGCCAGAATAAGAAATGAATATTTTTAAAAAGTTTTATTTTTTTAAATCACAGGTATGTGTATGGGTGTGTGCCCTGAGGAGGCCAGAGGCATTAGATGCCCCCGGAAATGAAGTTCCAGGTGTTTGTGAGCCCCCTGACATGGCTGTTGTGAATCAAACTCCAGTTCTGGAAGACCTAATACTTAACAGCCGAGCCAGGAGAGTGGTTTTTATTCCTAAGGAACAGGAATTGACACAGGAGCGCCCTGCCCCCACCCCAAAGCACACCTAGTGTTTCAGCGAGAGCCTCAGGAACCAGGGTCTCAGCATTCTCTTGTTTTTGTGTCACCTGGGGATTAAATCCGGGGCTTCCTGATTCTAGGCCAAGGCTCTTCCCTGAGCTTCACCGCCCACCTGCTTGGGGGATGCCAAGTGTCATTACAGGTAATAGGACGGGAGGATGGATGTGTCGTTTCAGAAGTGAGTTTGGGGCTTAAGGGCGAGGGTGGGGTAGGAGAATCATCAGGAAAGATTTCAAGTCATCGAAAAAGCAAACGGTGAACATTCCTCTGGTGTAGTTGGTGTGTAAACGTTCAGTTTTGCTGTGAGATTAAAAAGTTAAGGGGCTGGAGAAATGGCTCAGCGGTTAAGAGCACTGACTGCTCTTCCAGAGGGCCCGGGTTCAATTCCCAGCACCCACATGGTGGCTCACAACCATCTATAGTGGGATCTGATGCCCTCTTCTGGTGTGCAGGTATACATGCAGAGCACTCATGCATAGAATATAAATACATTAATTAATTAATTAATTAAAAAAGAAAAGGAAGTTAAGTTAATGTGACTTCTAATGTATTCATCATAGATGACCTAGTCATTGGTCAACCTTACTAGATTCAGCTAAAACACAGCACAGAAAAACATGGAAGAAGCCAGGAACACCTAGCAACCACCACAAGTAAACAGCCTTGCCAGTCAGTCACAACATCAGCAACTCAGGACCACTCACCAGGTGCCCAGCCCACCCCAAAGCACTGCAAGGAGGTTCCATAGCTGCTACTCCGCTAAGGAGAGGCCTTGGCAATCAGAAATATTGGGGCTGGAGAGATGGCTCAGCTGTTAAGAGCACTGGCTGCTCTTCCAGAGGACCTGAGTTCAATTCCCAGCACCCACATGGTG